TATCTCATTATTAATTCGACCACGGACGATTTAAGATTCAGTCATATGTAATTTGTATCTCACAATCACAACTCCTCGTGATTAACAAATCACCAAAACTTGAATCTACGGATTCTATTATTTAATTTATTAGAATATTAATTCAATTAAATAATAGATATTGCCATACATGCATTGATTATACATATATTCAAAGTGTTTATGTCCAAAGTTGATTGGACCTAGGGCATAATACTTACAGATGCATGTCGGACACGGACATGTCGCCCTAGGAGAAGTGTGCATGCGGCCCATACCAATATATAATTCGCATATTGATTTATGAGAAGATCAGCAAAATCCTCCGGACTGTAAATGTGGCTACTCTTGAATATTAGAGGCATCAGATAATTGTTAATGTAGTCATTCGCACCAATGGCCATAATTACTAAAGCATTAGCCAGATATTGGCTCATTTCCTCCTCTTCCATTTGAGTTCTCAATTGATTCACGGTGTTTTTGAAGTTCTGAATTTGTTCACTTAAAGGGATCCGATGACCCTGAAATTCATGTTTTTTTGAGTTATGAACGAAAAATCTTATACGTAAAGAAATTATATGATAATTAGTACAAAACCATTGAATGTAGTAGACATTACAAAATTAATTCCACTTTCGTCAAGAATTCCTGCTGCAGCTGAAGCATAATTTACCCCAAACAGAATGTTTTTTCCCAGTGGTACTAGGATTTTTGTAGGGCGGAAGCAGAGGCAATCCCATCAATTCAGCTTCATACAATGGAAATAACAGTGAACATAGAGAATGATATATGCAGTTTAAACCTTGAAATATAACTGAATTAATCAATATGGTCTAAATGCAAGGACAAGTAAGTCAGTGACAGATACCAAGAAAGTCTACTATGATCTTCCCATTACTGAATCTTCCGGTAGGTCCATCAGGGAAATCGATACCATAAGGAAAATAGTTGGATTTTGTTGCCGTTGTGTGGAAATATAGACTGTTTCCGGGATCACTAAGTGAATCACCAAACACATACATTGCCGTAAATTGTGGCTTTGCCCCAGCTCCCATCCATGAGAAATCAATTAAAATCATGCAGATTAACAGCAAAACTATGGAATGAGAGCATTGAACCTCCATGATTTTTATCATTTGTATTCTGTTTCTCAATTTTGTTTTAGTTAGTGTTTATATAGCATAAGAGGGACAAAATTGCTTCTCTTTCCTCCTCAATTATGCTGCTTTATGGTTGGCACTGCAATTGAATAGCCAAAAGTTGTGATTCCTAATTAGCTGACTTAGCTAATTAATGTAGAGGGAATATTGGGCAAATGAAGGTAAATTAAGGCCGCTATCTACTATATATAGTTGCTAAAGCCCACAGGCCATATATGTACTAGCATAAGTAAATTCATTCTTTATAAGATTAAAGCACTTTCAGTAACTAAAGTTTCATAGCAATATCAAGTGAACTCAACGGTGGGACCTGAGCTTGAGCTTATGTGTAATATGTTGAAATTAATGAACTTAATTGAGTCAAAACTTATTTTTCATTTCTGGCAAATGTATCTTGGAACTCTGTCAATGTTTTGAAGTTTTGTGTATCTCAACGAGTCTCTTAGATTGTGGAGGAGTCAATTTAATATTCCATGGCTTCCACGTCCTGAAATCTTGTACAAAAAAGGACAGGAATGAACATAGTTTGGCACCTCAATTAAACAATAAATAAATAAATAAATAAAAATTATGTAGTAGCTACTCAAAGCAACCTTCGAACTGCTACCAGAGTCTGCTTAAACACAATTTGTGGCTTGCTGAAAATAATCTCTGAAGCTTGTCATTCAAAACTAATTTCAACAACTGTCTAAAGTTCATTCTGTTGACCACTGTTATAATTGAAGTACATGTAAAACCCTGAAACTTCACGAATAATTTGATTAGTGAATTATTGGTGAAGTTTGGAAAGATTAACTCTTAAGAGGAAAATTTTCAATTTTCTTGGAACTAGATTGAAAAATGGAAATGTTTTAAGGTACAATCATATTAAGTCCTGATAAAGTGGGTTATAATGACTTCTTGTAAAGAGAATAGTGGGTTCAAGAGCTTAAATCCAAGACTTGGTCCTAAATGAAATAAGTTCAAGTGAATTGCGAATAGTTAGAAACATATTTTTGAAATGATAAAGTGACAAGTTGTTGATTATTTAGTGACAAGAATGGTCATTGGATGCTAAGGATTTGATTTTGGAATCTTTTGATAATTTTGACATGTTAATGGACTAAACTAAAAATAAGATTTGAAATTTTGTGATAAATATTTAATTATTGAAGATACGAGAGTTTTTCAATTTTCTTGGAACTAGAGTGAAAAATATGGAAATGGTTTAAGGTACAATCATTTTAAGTCTTGAGAAAGTGGGCTATAATGACATCTCGTAAAGAGAATAGTGGGTTCAACCGTTCAAGAGCTTAAATCCAAGACTTGGTCCTTAATAAAATAAGTTCAATGTTTAGGGGGTAAATTGTGAATAGTTAGAAACATATTTTTTGGAACGAGAAAGTGACGAACTAAAGATTATTTAGTGACAAGAATGGTCGTTGGATGCTAGGGATTTGATTTTGGCATCTTTTGATAATTTTGAGATGTTAATGGACTAAACTAAAAATAAAATTTGAAATTGATTACTTTTTGGAAAAATTAAACGGAAGCATTGATTTAACTTGACCTATGGTTGATTATAAGTTATAACCTTAAAATTTTGATTATAAAAAAAAGCTAATCTTGTTTACTAACAAGTTGAATTCAAGTGATTATAATTGTTCAAAACATACTATGAAATTGATCAACGGTTGTCAAAAGATCAAAAGCTATCATCACAAGTCAGACTCATGAAGGAGGTCAAGATCGAAATCACACATTCAAAAATTAAAGAGCCAAACTTCGGAGTAAGATCAAAGACTTGATTTTTTAGATAAAGTGTAAAGATACTAACACTTTGATATTTGGCAATAAATACTTAAGTCAAAATTCTTCTATGCATTAAAAATAATTTTGGGTATTAAAAGTCATTCTAACGCAATGTTTTGATCAAATATAAAAATGAATTTTAAAATGATATATGAACTTGAAAAATAGTTTTTATCTTGAAAACTTATTTAAAAATACTTTCCAAAATTCCATACCCTTCAAAACCTTCGAATTGGATCAAATGGGACCAAAATGTAAAAAGACCAAAATTGTCGGGTGGTCGGCTAGGAGAGGCGGTCAACCGGAAGTTTTCAACGGTACTGACATCTGATTTTTACTGTACAAACGACTATATTGTTCATCACAATAAGATGCGGTCAACCGGACAAGTCATCCGATCTCACAGATTTTTTTGACGTTTTGCACTCTATAAATATCCCCACTCTTCCATTCTTCATAAGACTTTCAAGAGTATCAAAATGAGATATATTGAGAGATTTCTTTAAGCTTACATTACATTAACTTCATTTATTTCTTCATATCAAAAATTTTGATTGATTCAAATTCTTTAATCATCATCTTCATAAAAAATTTCATCTCTCTTTTTGTACTTAACTTACTTCTATTACTCATGAAAGAGATATATATTTTGAAAAAGAACTTGGAATATTATTGCATATATTTATTCTACTTTTTCATATTGAAAACTTTGATTAATTGAATCAAACTTGTTAATCATCATGTTCATCAAAGTTTCTTATGTTTCTTTTGGTACTTAATTTATTACAATCATTCATTAAAAGAGAGATATATTTTGAGAAAATTTTTGGACTTACATTGTACTCATTTCATCTTCATCTTCTCATTGAAAAACTTTGATTGATTGAATCAAATTGTTAATTATCATATTTAACAAAGTTTTCATCTAGTATTTGAGCTATCATTTGTTGTTATTCATTGAAGTGTTAATCTCTATTAGTACTTAAATTCTTTTTTATCATTTATTAAGAGAGAAATTTCATTGTACAATCATTGCTCTAAACATGTGGGTCGTATTGAGCTCCAGTGAAAGCTCTATAGTATAAGGATCGGTGGTCCTTGTTGTATGACACCGTCTCGTAAAACTCAATAGTGTGGGTCATATTGAGGTCTCGTAAAACTCAATATTGTATAAGGAATGATACTCCTTATTTATAAGTCACCGGAAGCATTGTAAAGGATTGGATTGCACCATAAGTCAATTAATATAGTGAAAAGACCTTGCTCGTGTTGGAGAGCTTGATAGCTGAGGACGTAGATCATTGTTTTGTATCGAACCTCCACAATTATATTGTTTACATCATTTCTTCCCTTTTACTTATTGCTTTCATATTTGTGCTTATTATTTGAACTAATATATTTATTCTTTACTTGCTTGAATTCAGATTAATTCTTTGAAAAAGTTTTAAAAATCAATTCACCCCATCTTGGTTAGTTATTCTTGGGCCATCAATTGGTATCAGAGCAAGGTGCACATTTTGAATTTAAAGATTTGACAATCTTAAATAATGGCTAACACAATCTTCAAAATCTTGAGGGGCATTCTACAAATCACAATCCCTTTTTGATGGTACATATTATAATTATTGGAAAACTAGAATAATATTTTATGTTCAATCAACATATTATAATGTTTAGGAAGTTATTGAATTTGGTCCTTACGTACCTAAAAAGGTTATTAAAGTGATTGGTAAACCGGATCAAATCATTCCAAAACCTAGAGAGCAGTACAATGATGAAGAAAAAAGAAAATTATCGTTGAACACTAGAGCAAAATCGCACTGAGACAAAGGAGAAGACAATGAAAAGCCATGAAGAGGAAATGCGTCAAATTACTTTAAAATCCGTAATTGATGAAGACACTTCAAGCGAAAATTTGAATGATAAAGAACTTGATGATCTTGTTTTTCTTGTTAAGAAATGGAAAGGTTTCGTAATAAGTGTAGATTCCAAAAGAAAGAAGAAAATGCAAAGAAAAGAATAGATTCGTAAAGAGAAAGTACTACAAGTAACATGGGATGAAAATGACAATGATGACCATGAAGAAGATGAAAGTTGAGAGGAAATTGTCAATATGTGCTTCATGACTATTGCAAATAAAGTAAATTCAAATAAAAAATTGTTCATATGATGAATTATCTATCTCTTATGATAAAATTCTTGAAAATTCTTGAAATTTTGCTTTAGATCATTCGATCCTCAAAAAGAAAAATTATGTATTAGAAAATGAGGTAAAGAAAATTTTGGAAATTCAAAAAGATTTTGAAAAAGAAAAAGCCGATTACGATTATTTAATTAAGGAGAATTCTCTTTACAAGAAAAGATTTTAGATTTAACTCAAATTATTCACAAATTTACTCAAGGCATGAAAATTTTCGATTTAATGTTTGATAAACAAAAATGTATTTTTGATAAAGGAGTAAATTGGATATAAACCATTTTTAAAATAAGTCTCTTAAAATTTTCTTTGTTAAACCCTCTACTTCCCCCATTCTAAATGTCGCATGTGGTTTTTACAACAAAAAGGATCATGTAACTTTTAATTGTTCAATGAAAAAGAGGTTATACCTTGAGGACAATTACAAGTGGATTCAAAAGTCCACTAACTCTAACTACCAAGGACCCAAGATTGTATGGCTATCAAAGATCAAAAATTGTATTATTTTTGTAGGTACCAAAGAAAATAAGGAGCAAATGGACCTTGGATAGTGTGTGCTCAAAACACATGATCGGAGATCAAGCTTTAATGTCAAGTTTCAAAATAAAGGATGGTAGTCATGGTACTTTTGGAGATAATGTCAAAGGAAAAATTATTGACATTGAAATTATTGGTAATCATTCATTTCCCTTTATTTAAAATGTTCTCTTAGTAGATAACCTCAAACGTAATCTACTTAATTTTAGTCAATTGTGTGATGAATGTTATCATATCAATTTTGATTCTTCCAAGTACCTTATTGAGAATACTACATCAAAAGAAGTGATGTTTATAGGAAGCCGAAGTAAGGATATTTATGTCATAAATGTTAAGTTTGAATGTGGAGAAAAATGTATATCATATTTAAAATATGATACTTGGTTATGGCATAGAAAATTAGATCATGTTAGCATGGACCTACTTTCAAATTTTTCAA